AAGTTGTTTGTGGTCTCTGCTGAGCTGTTTTAATTTTTACCCTTACAAGCTCACATCAGCTCCAGGATTATTTTGTTTTAAAGAAAACTATATTTGTTTGTTTACTTGTTTTGAGACAGGCTCTAACTCTGTAACCCAAGCTAGTCTCAAATTCTTGGCAACTTCCTGCCTCAGCTTTCTGAGTGCTAGAATTATAGGTGAGAGTCATCAACATGCCCATGTGAAGGAACTTTTTGTATGGAAAAAGATTCTATTACCTTTTGTCTTTAATTTGTGGTTCTGGGGACCAAATCCAGGGCTTGCACATGTCTGGCAGACATTCTGCCAATGAGTCCTTATCTGCAAACTTTAACACTATTTGAATTTCAGTGGTAAGATTAATTTCCTCATGTCTGATATCATTCCGTAAGCCCAGCTGGCCCCGTGAATCTGTGGTTCTTGCCTGCTGCAGTTCATCTTTCATACTTTTTTTCAGGTCCGCAAAACCATTATAGTTCCTGGTTCTTTCACCAGTAACCACACTACACAGACTCCTGATTGGCCCAAGAATATGTCCATCCATCCTGAACCATCTGCGCATTCCAGTCCTGCATCCAGTACTCAGCAAGTAAAAAGCACTGAGCACAGTCCAACCTATGCCCCACTTCCAATGGCCCCCTCCTACAGCTATACCACCCTCATACCCCGGGCCTCTTCCCAGAGCACCTCAGCACCACACCCAGGTAAGTCCTCAGCTCCTATCCTTGGAGATGAGGGGACATAGAGTATTTGATTTGACTTAGGTTTCATTTAGAGAAGAAAACAGGGGAGGTATGTCTGACTGCTGTATGCTAGAAACAAAATAGCCCTGTCTATGCCTTCAAAAATGTGCGCTTTGGAGTCCCAGATCCCTAAGTCAGCTTGATGGAGCTCATTTTCTGAGTCAGATTCTGTTGGAACCTAAAGGCATGGAATTTCCTGCACACTCGTTATCTTGGGGGTGGAGGCAGGAGAAGCAGAAATTCAAGTCATCCTTGTCTTTCAGTTTGGGATAAGCCTGAGCTACCTGAGGCCATCTAAAACAAACAAACAAACAAACAAACAAAACTGTAGCGGGGGAAGATTTGGTGAGTGACACTTAACGATTGCAGAAATAGCTGCAGAAATAGCGCTGGTGCACCTGTCTGCCTCCCAGCGGCCTGGCTGTGGGTCAAGCATTGCCGGCCTGATTCTCGGAACACCTTTATTTCCAAAGCAACCATAGAAAGGAGCTTAGACAGAGTTTCCTCAACAAGCCTGCTTTATGGGGTAGTAGGTGGAGGTAGGTTCATCAGTGACTACTGGGTAACCCCAAAAACGTCAGGGGCAAAGCAAAACCAGTGATCACAGTTTTTGCCATTCTCCATTTCCCAGGGTCTCCTTTGCTAGTAATAGGACATAGAAGCATGTCCAGTCCTGAAGCAGCATGTGATTTCCGTGTCCAGGCAAATGCCTGCACAAAATGGTCTGTGTAACCGAAGGATTTGGCTTGTGCTGTATTGACTAGTTTTGGTCATTTATACTTTCTCTGAGTATAATGGCTTCATTTACCCCCCTCCCCCCCTTAGAGTTATACCAGGGAGCTCTTATTCCCTCTCCTGGGACAGCTGCAAGCTACAGCTTTCATAAAGGATGGTTTCATTTTTCTCTCTAAGTGCAATGTTCCCTAGCAGAGACAAAGATGTCTCAGGCTTCCCATTTGTCCAGGAAGCCCTCTCCACCCGAGCCGTGGAATATGAGTTGACTAGCCTGTGGTTTGCTGTAAGGTCTTTTAGAATTGAGGCGTCATATCAAGTAAACAATTATTGCCAGAGGAATAAGACTGAATCAGTGGTTTTCTATGGTCTGATCCATCTGTTCTCCCAGCCCTCAGCAGTTATTGAGTACAAAATACCAATAATGCCAATGTTGAGAAACTCAAACACATACGAGATATGTGGCAAATGGTGTCAGAGCCATGTCTCATAGGAGAGTAGCACACTATGGGTGCTTTGGAAAGAGTGACATATGTGTCATAGCAAGACTGATGGTCTGGAGTGAGTGGGGCACAGGAGTGAGAGGAATTCAGAAACTGGGGATAATGGTAACAATGAGTCAGTATTTGTAGCAATTGCAAAAGAAAGGTAAGCCTTCTGACTGACCTCTGCCTTTTTTATTTTATATATTATTTAAAAAGCATTCACCCAATAACGGTGTCGTTGAAACAGAATTTGAACTCTTTGGCAAATATTGCATGTAAGCACATTTGGAGACTGACATTAGGTGAAGTACAGTGGAGAAGAAATCGGAGCACTGAATCTGGTGTTTCAGTGAAGTGCTTCAAGGAGGGGGCAGTGAGTGAAGGAGTGGAGGAGTGGAGGCCACAGGCCTGACAGGTGGGATTTACCCTCCTCTTAGACTTGCTAAGCAGCCGCTCACTGATGACCTTGAGAGACCCTTCCCAATGGAAAGTGGGTACAGAATCAAACTCAGGGGGTTAGAATCTAGACAAGTAGCAAATGAAGACAGTGGCTGAGGGCGACTCAGGAAGGGGAGACGTGTCATCTGGATGTGCTGCTGAGTACGCTGCTGCCACTTTGTTCTAGCTGTAAAGGAACTGGTGGTGTCTGCTGGGAAGAGCGTCCAGATCACCCTGCCTAAGAATGAAGTTCAGTTAAACGCCTTCGTTCTCCCAGAACCAGACCCAGGTAAGATATGCCTTTCGGGAAACATTTCCGTTTACATTAGTATCTACAAGCCTCAGTTCATTTGCTTTTGCAACAGCACTGTGAGGACGGGATGTACACATGGGCACACATCTGCATGGGCACACATCTGCATGGGCACACATCT